TCTGTCCATTTCCTTAGGCTATGCATTTCCCCTTCACATCATTTCCAGTGATGGAAGTATAAATTGTGTAAGGATCTCTAGAGCTCTAGTTGACTTTATGCATTGTTTGCAGACTTGATATGTGAAAGTGTGACATTGATCTTGTATGCAATCTTTGCATGTGTGTGTATCAAAACCTTGAAACTTCCTCAATATATGAAGAAAGGTTCTTTTGTACACCTGCTTTGTGAAAGAGATCATTTCTCCTGATGTGTTTTATTGTGTAAAGTGGTCTACAATAGTCATGTTTCTATGGTTTCTCAAATAAATCCCCTTTTGCAAATGTAAATAAAGTATTTTTTAAATTATTTCCTCTATAAGCACATTTTGGGGATATGAATTATGATTTTTAGGGGTTTAGACTTTAGGGTTTCACCAATCTTGGTTATGGGGTGCAGGAATGTGTCTTTACAGATGACCCAAACCCATAGGAAGGTTCATGTTGACTACTGTATTGACTCAGACTAAGAATCTTACTATTGACTAAGAGCCAATGTCACAGCTGCAGAGTCAACTTTTCATGAACTTTCTTGAACTCACACTAAGAACTATTAAGCCACCAGCACTGTCATCTTTTAGGATACCTGCCTACCCCTCAAAATTTTAGATTGAATTACTTCTAAGGTAAAATTAAAGTGTCAGATAGGACTTGGGCTATATGACCCTTCAACACTGTGAACGCAAGATGCTGTAGCAATGTGTTAACATGAAAGATGACAAAAGGAAAAAACAACCCAGAGAAAGCACTAGCGAGCTGAAAATTCGCCAAAGGACAGGAAAAATTGTTACCATATTATTCTCTTTCCTTAACCATGAACAATGTTTCTCACATGACCTCACTTTTTAGCTAGATGTTTTCTCAGAGGTGTGATCCTCTCTCAGACAATTCCATCAGCTAGATTTACAAAGAGCAGGCGAGGTCCTACCTCTTGGGGGAGGCATAGTGGCTTCTACTTCAGAGATGAGGGAATGAGGGAAGGAACTGTTAAAAGCCTTTTTTTTTGGGGGGGGGGGAGAATGATGACTCTCTTTTCTTCCACTAACTACATTTTTGGTATTTTTCAGATTACTTCATATCTTGAGTTTTTTGTCCTTAAATTCTCCAAAAAAGAATTTATGCATTTTCATATTGGTCAGTGTTAACATTTAAATGGTATCTCTTACAATCCACAGTAAACTTCTGCTCAACTGATTGCATAGAGACAGGAGTATATGATACATTGCTTTTCCTTGGCCAGTAACAATTTAGTGACAAACAACACTGATTTTTATTCTGAACAGTAGAAAACAAGACATTTAGTTATGCTTTTCCATTGAGCTCCCTCCAGCACTTGAAGCACTGTGTCCACCTGCAGAATGTCCAGCTCAAAAACATTTTAATCAGCCTCTATAGCAACACTCTCCCCAGAAGTGTGACTCACACAACGATTGCAGTGATGCACACTACCTCCCTGCATGATGGGGGGGGAGGGGCAAAAATACAAAAATGCCTTTGTCCCCTGTCACAATGCAGTAACTCTTTACAAAATGTGGATGAATAAGAACCAGTGGTCCAAGGTAAGACCCATGAATAGGTCCCTGATTACAGACAATGTGACACATCGAAGACAATCAACGGCATTTCTTTCATCACTCAGGAATGGGTGGGACTGAGTGCCCAGAATGCTGTTCCAGCAGCAGGAACACCACTGAGCACGGTGCCAGCACAGGAAGCCCACAGCCCACACTCAGACCAACCCAGCCTCGCCCAGCATCACCAGGACCAGGCTCCTCGGCACCTTCCTGGTTGCCAGGGCAACACCCCTGATGTCTGCCACCTCTGAGCAGGTGGGAGAACACACAAGCGAAGCTCTTTTCTCTGCGTGGTGCTCAGAATTCATCAACTTGCCAGCTTGGACCTTAATCCAGATAATTGGCCTAGGAGTTTCTGCCAGGCCCCCTTTACCTCCTTATTCCTCAGGCTGTAAATCATGGGGTTCAGCATGGGGGTCAAGATAGCATAGAAGAGAGAGATCAGCTTCTCCTGAAGGACGGAAGGGCTGGACCTGGGCTGGATGTAAGTGCAGATGGCCATCCCATAGCACAGGGCGACCACGGTCAGGTGCGAGGCACAGGTCTGGAAGGCCTTCTTCCTCCCCTCTGTGGACCGGATCTTTAGGATGGCGGAGATGATCTTGATGTAGGATAAGAGAACCAGGCAGAAAGGGGTCATCAGCAGGACAATGCTGGACACCATGATTGTGACCTCGTTGGAGGAGGTGTCCACACAAGCCAGCCTGACCACGGCAAGGAGTTCACAGGATATGTGATCAATGAACTTGTTTGTGCACATGGGCAGCTGAAAGGTGATGGCTGTCTGCATGAGAGAGTTGACAGAGCCACTGACCCAGGATATGACAGCCAGTTTCTTACAGAGCCCTGCATGCATGATGACCGAGTACCGCAGCGGGTTACACACGGCCACATAGCGGTCATAGGCCATCATTGCCAGGAGAACAAATTCAATCCCACCCAAGCCCAGGGAGAAGAACAACTGTGCTGCGCAGCTCACGTGTGGGATGACTTTATGTTCTGCAAGAAAATGCACCAACATCTGAGGAACGATGCTCGTGGCATAAGAGACGTCAACGAGGGAGAGGTTGGTGAGAAAGAAATACATGGGGGTGTGGAGACGGCTGTCCAGTCTGATCAGAAGGACAATGAGGAAGTTGCCAAGCACTGTCACCAGGTACGTGATCAAGAACAGGACAAAGAGGGAAACCTGAGTGTTCCAGTTACTCGACAGGCCAAGGAGAATAAACTCTCTCACCCACGTCTGGTTGCCTGTGCCCATTGAAACATGTGATGATGATTGAGCTGCAGAGAAAGTTACAAAGAAGTTATTGAGCCAAATAACTTTGGAAGCACTTCATAAATATTTATGTGTAACATGCCAACCTTAACAGACATTTCAGATAATTTACATGTTCATAAATACTTGGGGGATCTCCAAAAGATGCAGTTAAATCCTTAAGATAATAAAGTGCAATTTTAGGAGTTCCTTATCTTTACCATTTTCCTTAGATTCCAGGGCAAAGAAAGAGTGATAGGATGATAGATGGTCTTAGGTAATATGACAAACCAGGAAGAAAAAAATTGGAAAAATAAAAGATAGCTATCTTCAATATGTCACTTGCACCTTTCAGGAAGAAATAGGTAAATCTATTCCAGGAGGGAAAGATTGGGAATAGTTGGGATGTTATGGAAAGTTCTAGAATCAGAGAACCTAGGTTGCAAATTTGATTTTATGTTCCCTCTATGTGCTTTTTGTTTAGCGACACAATTTTCTATAGAGACAACAAAATTACTGGCACAATATCTAAGCACAACAGAAGGGAAACGCTTTGTATTTATTATAATGTACATGATATTATGTTTTATGAACACGTAAGTATGTAAGTGGTTCTGGTGACAGAACAGCAGTAGTACTATGGATGCAACCTCTGCCTTGGGGGGCATCATGCATTCCCCACCGACGCCCTCAGCCTGGGGGCCCATGTGAAAGAGGGCTGTGGGCTGAGCAGGCTCCCGGGAGGACACCTGGGGCCATTTTCCTCTTTGATTTCCTTTGCTCGTCCAGTCTCTGGGGAAGGGAAGGGGGGAGGAGTTGTGACAGTATCCTGTTCTTATTTTTTTCTTTTCCATGTGCTCCCTCAAGTATCTACCTTTTGTATATGAGCTCATAATAAAGGCAATCACGGTGTGGACACTCGACTTTCTAGACAAGAGAGCAAGGGAGAAGTGGTTAAGTACCCTTCTCCATAGGCAAGAAAATAGGATTCATGTAGGCGTGTGCTGGGAGGGACTTTTTCTTCGGTTTCTCTTATCTCAGAAGTGTCTTTTGCATAGAATTAACTGTCCTACTATCAAGTCTGAATATGAAGGAGAAATTTTATATTAAAAATTTTGTGAAGTTCATGGGAATCTCCCTGGTGGTGCAACGGGTTAAAGCATCGCATTATGAAGCTGTCCGAAGCCACTGTAGCACGAGATCGATCCCCGGCCAGGGAGCTGACCCACATGGCGCGGCAGACCTCGCCTGACCCGCCCGCTGCTCCCCTCAGCAGTGGACTTTGTCAGTCAGCCAGTTCTGCTCCCCACTCTGTCTCTGGTGAATCCTTTCACTGCCCCTGCACACATCTGGCCTGTACCCCAGTTCTGTAAGCATAAAATAAATGAGTCTTAAAAACAAATTGTGAAGCTCTGACTGATTCCCAGTATTACTCCTGGCCTATTCACCAACTTCATTTTGCTTCCCATGTACAGCATGGGGGCAGGGAGTCGAGGGAGTGGGATGAAGCACAGAAGCAGAGCCTGCCCAGAACTCACAGCGAGTCAGGTTAGGATCCCAGAGCAGGAGGGTGAAATGGCCAAGGCTTCCAGTTTCTTAGCTCTTAAAGGACAAAGCAAAACAAGCAGTTCCAGAAACATCCATGTCTTTGATGATCCAGGCAGCCCCAGGTATTTTCTCTCCTCCGCCACCTGTTTTACGCATCACTGGGGCCTGGCCCAGCTTTGGCCCCCCACCAGATACTCCCACGACCCCCCACGCCAGCCCCACTCGCTGCCTCCGCAGGCTGCTTACCATCGTGAAGGCAGGAGGGCATTTCTAGGGAGCTTTTGACGGTGCCCCCAAGCCTGGTCTCTCCTGCAAGGACTTTTCTCTGCTGCTTTTTTAGGGTATGCCCTCTCGCTTTCCTTTCCTTCACTGTGCTCAACCTCATAAAACACATTGTTTCACAGAAATCCTCCAATTTAGTTTAAATTTGAAGGAAATACTTCGTTTTAAAAGTCTGTTCAATAGGGAGCAAATCTCCTGCAGAATGTAGACACTTCTCTTTCCATCTGGAGGACTCCAGTGAAGAAACTCTTTACTGGGACTTTCCCAGGGGAATGTCACACTCCTTGGTGTGTGAAGGGCTCGCGCACCCCAGAGGAAAAGACACCAAACAGATCCAGGTCACATCACTCGCCCTCCAGCGCCTGTGCAGGGCCCTGAGGAAACTCCCAGATGGGTCCGGCTGACGGGAGCCGAACTGGGATGGCAGGACGTGACCGCCTCTGCTTTGATTCTGGCTCCTGAGGCCTGAAGCGAGTCACTAGGTCTCCTTGAGTCTTGATGATTCTTCATCTGTCATTCGGGTCACAGTGGTCGAGGGGAGGGGTCACGGGTGAAGAAGAGAAAGATGTGGCGACCCTACACGGTAACTGGCCACACTGACAGACAAACCTGCCACAGCTTCCTGCTCTCTGTCTCCTCCAGGCTCTCATCCCTCCCCTTGTTCTGTCTCTGTGTCATCCTGGGTTTCCTGCATTACAGAACTGGGGTACAGGCCAGAGGTGCAGGGGTGGTGAGAGGACTCACCAGAGACAGTGGAGAGCAGAACAGGCTGGCTAATAAAGAATACTGCTGAGGGGAGCAGCAGGCAGGTCAGGAGGGGTCTGCCGCGCCATGTGGTCACCTCCGGGACAGGGGGTGGGGATCGAACTCATGCTGAAGTGGCTTTAGCTTCTTAGCCCTGTGCTTTAACCTGCTGCGCCACCAGGGAGGGTCTTACTCTTTGTTTTTTTAATATTTATTTATGTATGCACACAAGAACTGGGTGCAGAAATGCAGGGGATAAGAGACAGAGCAGGGAGCAGAACAGGCAGATGGACTGAAATCCACTGCTGAGGGGAGCAGTGGGGAGACAGGTCTTCTGTGCCCTGTGGGTCATCTCTGGCCGGGGATCGAACTTGTGCTGCAGTGGCTGCTGAGAGTGTCATAGTGGTGAGACTTAACCCCCTGAGCTACCAGGGAGACCCCAGTTTTCATTTACCCTTAACTGGCTCTTCCCTCTTTAGGAAACATAGGCAAATTTCTGTGTGGGGAGATAGAGCCTTGGTATTTAATCATCATCCTAATGAATTCTTCATTTCACGCCCAGATTTCTCAGTGACTGTGGGTTTATTTCCTCCTAACATCCAACATTCAGGCCACAGAATCTGGATTTTGCCACCACTACACTATAAAAACTGTGCTCTAAAGATATTCCTGCCTTTCCAGTCTTCAGATTCAGAGGCTTCCCTTTGATGCTCATTCTTTACTTACCTGTGCAATGTCAACACTTTCCTCCCCGACTCTCAATTCTCCCGCAAGTTTCAATCTTGGTTTTCCTCTCTCTGTTTCCTTATCTGCATTCTTGGATATTTTTCTAATTTATTCTTACTCCCTTACTATAACCATTTTGCTCAAAACTACTTTCTAGTCTTGTTTTTTTCCTAGAAGGACTCATGATGTCTGACAGCAATACTCATTAAAACTCTATGTAACTCATGCTCGGATATAACCAAATTCCAGGATTCAGAGCTCTCCCTATACATACATTTATTAAAGTCAAATAACTAAAGGAAAACAGATAGAAATATTTGCTCCATCTGTCCAGACAAATAACAGAAGCCTCTTGGTTGGGTTGGGTGTGCAGCTGATGTTCAAGATCTTTGCTGAGTAACAACCAAGATTAAGAGTAATCCTCTCTAACTCTTCCTCCTAGAGAGCGTTTTGTGTCCTAACGTCAGTACTTGCCAAGTCAATCATGTTCCATTAATAAAATCCTATTTAATATTTTGGATCATCTCCTGCTCATACTCAACAAGCTCTCTTTGCATATGTGTGTGTGTGTGTGTGTGTGTTTGTGTAATGCATGTATGTATGTATGAGCTCCCCTTATAAAAAATAATTCTGTAAAAAATATTTCTGCTCGGGCCCTCCCTGGTGGCGCAGCGGGTTAAAGCACAGCACTAAGAATCTTAAGCCACTTCTGCATGAGTTCGATCCCCGCCTGCCCTAGAGGTGACCCACATGGCGCGGCAGACCTCTCCTGACCCGCCCACTGCTCCCCTCAGCAGTGTACTTCGTCCATCTGCCTGTTCTGCTCCCCACTCTGTCTCTGGTGAATCCTCTCACCCTCCGCATCTCTGGCTTGTACCCCAGTTCTATATGAATAAATAAATAAATCTTTAAAAAATATATATATATTTCTGCTCCTCCTCCAAGCAGAGGTGAATAAAGACATACCTGGGGGTTGTTCTCCTTAGAAAAAAAGCACCAGGAGGGAGGGCTCCCTCATGCCAGTACTTAATGTAAAGGATGGAGGGTTGTGGCTAAAAAGAATGGGGTGTTTGTAACCAAAGGTAAATGGTGCCATTGAAATAGCGCATGAGAAATATCTATTGAGAGGCCTGTTCCTAATGCCTGAAATCAGTTACCTTTATGTTAAATCCTTTGAGAAAAGATTAGAAATTGAAATAATATTAACTATGAAGTGTAAAATATAAAGTACACATTGTCAACTGGCAAATGAAAATCCCCGACTTTGCAGGAAAAATGAGGGGATAAGGTATGGAGCAACAGATCAAACTTTTCAGTTCAAACATTACCTTTTCATTACCCAATTTATGGAGCTACCTGAAATCAGGACTGAATCGTTTATCTCCCGGTGACATCGAAATCAAGACAAAGAGAGTAGGTGTGCAGATTTCTCATACAATTCCTTTTCATGACACAATCCACCACACTGACAAGTTAAATTTAATCCATCACAATTTTTCCTCACACATTCAAAGCTATTCATTGATTCCATGGAAACTTCTGTTTTCTGTCATGACTTTTGATGCAATGGTAACAAATTGTTATTTTGAACCCATTCTCCCTCCATAAATTTAGCTACAATTCTTTTTCCTACAGCTTCAATCTCCTACTGCCTGGTTATAACTTCATTCAATACATGAACCTGAAGAAGAGGATGACAACCA